TTATCCATTGACTTAAAGTTGGCCCAAATTGGACCTACATTACACCAACACCCAAACTTTCCTCCTCTTTCAGAAGCTGCTCGTGATTCCGTTAATGAATAAAACATAAAATTCATAATTATTTCAGAAAAAACTAACTATCAACAAGGCTCCAACGGACTGAATGCCAATGACGAAGATGACGATTGCATTACAGAAAACCCGCTCGAGAGTCATTGTTTGGATCGACGGAGGAGTCGCTGAAAGGAAGGTTTGTACGGAATATATCACATATGGCGAAGTACTACTAGTTAAAGGCAATCAACGATTTCGCTACTGTAAATATCCTTTTTCTGTAGATATGCATAGCAACCGCTTCGCACAAAAGAAACATCCCACTATTGAGTGAGAAAATCCCGCTATTGGCAGGAAGCCTGGCAGTGGCTGGTCGTGAAAATGTGAAAATGCTACATACTTCATGGCCGATGGAGTTTATATAGTCACAAGTGACCAAGGCGAGAAAAATGGGTTGTAGCTCACGCTAGAATGGTCAGTTTTTTCGTAGGTATGTCCAGGAGTAACGCAAACAACGTGCATCAAAGTGTCCGACGTGCAAATATTTCAAAAAAGAACTTGTTCTCCAACCAAACACGAAGAGATTGTTGTATGCTCCAGGAAGCTGTAAAAACAACATGGTAGGCTCGTGTTTCTTTCTCGTATGTGCTCTAGTAACTCACAAGATTATCGAATTATGAGTGATGTTTCACCTTGGATGGGACATCGAACATGTACTTGTATCATCAGAGCGCTGTACTCTTATTCCTTACACTACCGAAGCCCCGCTCTAGTAACAGCCTTGGAGTTGGAGGGAAAGAGGTTTCTGAAGTCATTCCCATTTACAGGATGCGCCTCGCGATAGATTTCTATTCAGAATTTGTATAGTTGCTTGGATACATCGGTGGTCTTTGCAATGACATGCGGTGGTCGATACGAAACAGCACTTATCCTCCCAGGCGAGTTGATGTCTATTAACAAATCCCAGAAGGTTTTAAGACTTGGTGGGTCTGGACGAATGAGGATAGGTGAGGATAGCGCTCCTCCTGGCGCTACATCACCTTCAGTCCTTATTTTGTCTACTTTGAAAGAACATGAGCCGTTTCAAGTCAATCATACCAAATCATTGAAGCCCATATGGTCAGGTTTGCTTGAGAGAGATGCGAAATCTTAATCGCAGAAGACCGGTAGTGGTGAATATATACATCACGTATAACACAAAATTCCTTGAAATTTTTTTCTCTTCTTATTTGCGACATGAGTTTTTTTAAGCCTTTTCTTTTTTAAATTAGACTCATCAGCTTTTTGTGTGGTTCCATACAGCTTTTGGCCTTGATAAGATCGACTCATCCCATAGGATCGCCGTTACCGAAATTATGTGCCTGGAGTACGTCTCTTCAAGTTTCGAGCGCTGTAGGAGAAAACTACGAATGGCAAAACTAGCGGGTGGAAGATGTACTCAAAAAAAAAAGAAAATAATCGGTTCATTATTGTTTTGTTGTTGCTGCTGTTAACAGCAGCGGTTGATGGTTAGAAGCTTTAGGTTGACCAGGATTTCGATCAAATCGCCTTTCTTCAAGACTTAGCTTCAATATACGCTTTAGAAGCTGCCTATGCTGTCTAGCATTTGAGGGGGTTGTTTCGCCTGAGCGAAGAATGTCGTCAATACGCTGTGAACTTATCGATACCGGTTTCGATCATTTGCCAGTTGGCAGTAGTCAGACACCCACGCGAATTATGTACGTCTCATTGCTAACTACTGATTATTGTGCAAAAGTGACGACGAGGGTGAAGTGGTAAGTTTGTTCGCTCTTTGGGACCAAGTTTCGTGGAAACACGCCACACAGGATGAGCCATTGGAAGCCTAGAGGGTGCATACGTTTAGGCCTAAGCGTCAGAACTAAAAGGAAGCGATCTGGTCGAGAGAAAAAGGTCAACACTGAAGAATTCCATTCTTCATACTCTATGGAGTAATCCACTTTCCACGAATCTCGTCCAAAAAATTCACGACGGTTCGTGAAACTACGGAATCGCTGAGATCAAGCTTAACAGTGTGCACGTCTGAACGTTTTTCTTCTATGTCAGTGCTGGGAGAAGAGTGACAGTACATCACCCAAATAATTCTTTCTACTCATGGTAATGAGGCTAGTCCTCTTCAAATAAACAGGCTGGTACAACAATAATCATCGGACCTCTTCACGTTTACAGTGTGAATGGAGGCAACTGCTCACAGCTCGAAAATTGAATGGACTAGGACTCTTCACAACCGTGAATTACCATTCAGTATAGATACATATGAGTTTTGGGTTCTGCGTGATCCAGCAGGAATTGAGATTCAGAACACTGTACAACACCATTCCAATTTAATCGCGAAAGCCTAACTTCCAACGTGTTGCCGAAACATCGCTCGATATCGATCAGATTTATCGATTTTTGCACCGACTGCTAGGATAGGCTCTCGACCTTCATTCACCTTCAGGCTCATACAATGAATGCAGTCGGAGAAGCTGGACTTAGAACTTACAGATTACCAACTTATTTAGGGTCAAGGAATTTTCTATAATCATTTTCTAAAATCGCACTCCAGATGAAAAAATAAGCCTGTACGTCGTCATATCGTTCAAACAACCCTGATGCAGGTAAGTGGCTTTGTATGGAAAGGGATGTGATGATGTGATGTGTTTCAGCAAGAAGTGATCTCTGTCGATTATTAAACCGTTTATTCTTATAAATACTATGCCATTCTGTCCAAAAAAATCTATGTACAATTGACAGAATAATTGAGCTTATTAGATTATCAACTACGTAACTGGTACTTTCAAAAGTTAACCAAACATATTGAGCATTGGTCCCATCATCGGGCCCATCATCGGTCCCATCATCATGTTACGACTTGCCATCATACCATAATATCCAAGCAACGGATTCATTCCCAACATCGATCCACCTCCTAACATTGAACCCAAGTTGGCGCTAGTAGTGGCTTGTGTACTCGAGTACGTGTTCACAGGGACACCACCGGACATGCTTCCTGGGCAGCATGCCGGGACGCAGGCATTCAGAATGAAGGTCCCAGGAGTGGATGCCGCGCCATATCCTCCGTACGAGAACTGCGATACTGATTGTCCTGGACATGGACCTGAATGAGTGTATTTGAAGTAGTTTAAGACTGTAGGAATAAAAAAAAGAAAATTTTGTCAAAGAATCACTTTCGACCAAAATTTATTCCCTTAAGTGGGCGGAGCCCCCGGAGACGATGGCTGACGGATCTGTCACAGGCTGGTCCAGAGAGCGAGACGGTTTGTTGCCGAATCCCATGAAAAAATTGAAGGCGCTCAAAAACTACGGAAGTAAACATGGGCTTTTGTTTACACGACTAGCAGCTCTTGAAGTTTCGGAACCGCCCTTATCAGAATGAGCTTCGAGCAAACTGGGTAAACAGGTCGAAAGCCCCGTGTCCGCTTTGTTTTTGTAATAGGATTCTGAGCAGAAACAGGTGGACGAACAACAATTAGCGCTTAAAACACCCGTATAGTACGCGGACTGATTTTCTTAAAAACATTCCCATTCAGTGTAAGTTACTGTACAACCAAAACTAGACTTAAAAACGATATAAGTGACAAATGTAGCACTGTGACCTATGCTCAGGGGTTAGGAAAATCTGTCGGAGGAACAGTGCCCCTTTCGTTCCCATTGATAAAATTCTCCACTTAATGTGCCTGAATAATTGTGGATATGGGGGTGTTTTATACATTCATTTATTCTCTGGACTATTCCTCTCCAGGAAGGTGTGTCCGATTTCCCTTGATCCATTCTTCATTGTCATTATACGCCTTTATGTGCGGGACAGAGAGCGAGAGTTCGCTGTCCCTTCACGAGACAGTTTTTCGCTACAGTAACCGCGCAAGGTTGAATGTTACAGTAACCAATCAGGCCACTGAGTGGGTTGTCAGATCCCATCGAGAACTAATAAGAGGAGTAGGTCGTATGGTTACAGCGAGAGCTTGGTCGACGGAAATGAGTTGTTCCACTGCTCATGGTGGGCCCATCTAGACAGGGAGACTCGTTCAGGTGAGGGATGGCTTCTTTTTCAGAGCGTTACTCTGATTCCACCAGGGTGAAGCAAAGGGCTAGCGTGGTGACAGCGATAGTGGCAGCACCCCTCCCAAACAGGAATCGGCATTTACGGGAATGCACTATTGCTTTTTTTTCTGTGATCCCTATAATAATTCAACTCACAGCAAGGAGGGCATCCGCCTCCGGCTTGGTTCGAGTTACAGTTGCAATTCAAAGCAGCTCGTCCGGCGAATCTCTGTAAAACTTCAATTAGTGACGAACAGATGATTCCAGAAACTCTCAAAGTCTTTTCATTTAAGACTGAGAGCTAAATTGAAAATGCACGTCTCACAAATTTATAGCGATAGTTTTTGACAGAAAATGCCTGTTGACTTTGTACTTTTTACTTTTTTGGTACGGGATCAAGCAGAGGAGGCTCCTTTCAACTTCATTGAAAGCTAGAGATATTAATATGCTCAGTTGAAGGAATACAGATAGGGTCACTTTCGAGTAGTTACATAAGTTTTTCATGGACTCTTCTTCCTTCCCACCACTATAATCACTTAGTACCTCGATGTACATAAAGTCCACTATCTCGAAGAGTGATAGATTTCCAACTCACCAAATATCCCGGACAACAACAACCGCCTGCTGCTCCAGTTCCTCCACTAGCTCCACCGCTAGCTATAGCGTAAAGCTGTGAGTAGATAGATGGTATGGTTATGAGAAGAATGACGATTCCTAGCTTCATTATTACCCTGAACAACATTATATAAACAAAGTTAGTCGTAAAAAGCTCACTATCATACGATCTGCAACCCTCCAGAAAAAAGACAAACAGCGATGACCTTTCTGACACTCTCTTTTCAAGATGCACCACGAAATTCGAATTCGAATTTCTGGAGCTATTTATTGTTTTCATTTTTGAAGCGTGACTCTATGAGTTTCGTTAGTGTACAGCACATGCCCACTAATTTGAGACCGTTTCTAAACACTTAACCTCAAATAAGGAAAAGCTTATAACCCTTAGTATGTCATTACCCTTACGGCCATCACCCCACTTAGGGACCTAAACTGAAGCAGTTGTTGTGAGTAAGCTCCAGCAGCTCTATGGGCGTCTCAACTCTCTTTCCTTGACCCAAGCTAGGGTGCAGACAAAGTTTGCATCTTCGCAGGCTTCAATATTCTTTGATTCGACTGAATTTCTTAATTGTAGCTACCCGAATGGTCTCGAGCATGTGCAGGAATCAAATTCAACATATCTATTCAACACTTGGCCGTTTAGTATCTAAAAATGTAAAAAATTGCATCTAACTGTGAAATATTTTTGATGAGAATGGATTTCGTGGTGCATCCTAGAAAACTGATAATTCCCTCACTACATTTCTGATTATATTGAAATTATCCTTACGAATTAGTCTAGAACATTACGAAAAATCGGATTGTTGCAACGAATTTCGGGGATGTTACGAGAAAGGTTGAAATGGAATTTGTAGACCTTACCTTTAGGTTAAATGAATCTCCCTTTTGATTAGACCTGAACGGCTTGCAAAGCACTGCAAGTTGAACAGAATCTGTTTGGGTTTCTGTTTAAATAGCCCAAGTCCTGGACACGTATCCCTAAAAAACTCAACCGCTCGTTGACTGGACTCTTCTGCCGTCATTCCGGGTAAACATTGCGATAGTCCAGTGTAAGTAAATACTGCTAAGCAGTCCAGTTGTTGCGTAGATTAGTCGGACGATTCTCTATGAATCCAGTATGTTGTAGGGGGGACAACTAGTGGACAGCATGCTTTTCAAGTGTTTTGATAAAGATCTGCTCTTAGGGTAGGGTCCTGCTTTGTTTTTGTTGAGGGCCCCACTCTAGTGAAAGGTGAAGGGACCGTACAATGTGGATATTTCCCTGCTTTGTTAAGTTTTCTAGATTCAAGTAGTTGTTCTCAATGTCCTCCACCCGTTCCCGAACGACGATTTTTTGAGATTTGGTGGAAATCATGGCTCTGAAGGGAATCCCAAGGATCATTTCCATGGAGCCATTTTGAAACCCTCTAAAGGAGTTTTAGACAATGATTAGAAGAAAGGAAAACAGAAGTATTTCTTTCAAGCAAAGGTGAATCGGTACGAGTCAGTGGTCCTGCCAATATTTTTTCACTGTCGAGAGGAATTTGACCCCAAACTGAATTAGCTCAGTGAAATCCGATTCAGCTTTTGTTCTCAGAACTATGTACGTGTACGGCGAACAGCGGCAGTGACCATACCATAAATCTCCTGAAGGATAAGACATGAAAACATGTCTGAAGGATTACTCTTTGCAATTATGGTTTAAAAGCAAACAACAAACAAGTTTAGCTAAAAATCCTTCGAGCTTATAGTCTAAGTTGACGGATTATTCAAAATCTCCTCGATAATCTTCTCGAAAGCAACATGTTTTTTTACCCCAATTTCAATAGAAGTAATGATAAAAATATTAAATAGGAGGCCTAAATTATGTGAAAAGCACTTCTACAACACTCTGGGAAATGTGGTATAAAGAAGGAAGCGATTAAAGGTGAAGAAGTCTTGATTTATTGTTAAAGGCGCACAATTCACGATAAAAATGGTTTCTGAGACTCCCCCACAGGTTGAATTTGAGGCTCCCGCGT